ATTTATATATATATGTATTTATATAAATATATGTGCGTATTTATGTATATGTATATATATATATGTGTGTCTATCTATATGTATATATATATGTGAGCATTTATATACATATGTGTGTGTTTGTGTTCATATATATATATTTGTTTGTGTATTTACATATGTATATATATATATGTGTTTTATATTTATATATGTATATATATGTGTGTGTGTCTTTATATATGTGTATATATGTGTCTGTATTTATATATATGTATATATATATATTTGTATTTTGTATACATATATATATATATATATATTTATATATATATATATATATTTTTTTTTATATATATATATATATATATATATATATATACGTGTGTGTATTTATATATATATATATATACATATGTGTATTTATATATATATGTATGTGTGTATTTATTTATATATAGTATGTATATATATATTTATTTATATGTATTTATTTATATATAAGTATGTGTATATATATATATATATATGTTTATTTATATATATATTGTATATATGTGGTATTTCTATACATATATGTATATCCATGCGTGTATTTATATATCTATGTATTTATTTATCTCTATATATATATGTGTGTGTATTTATATATATATATATATGTATGTGTGTGTGTGCGTAAATATATATATATGTATATGAACCTATATATATGTAATATATATATATGTGTGTTTATGAATATACATATATATATGTGTGTATGAATATAATTATATGTATGCATATATTTATTTGTATAAATGTATATGTCTATATATATATATATGTGTGTGTGTGTGTATTTATGAATATATAAAATTGTATGTATGTATGTGTGTATGAATATATACATATATATTCATGTACACACATATATATATACATATATATATATACATGCATACATATATGTGTGTATATATATTTATGCGTGTGTATGAATATATATGTTTGTGTATATTATATATATTTGTGTATATATATATATGTGTATATATATATATATATATATATATATATGTGTGTGTCTATGTATGTTTGTGTGCGTGTGTATATATAGATATATATGTGTTTGTGCGTTTTGTATATATATGTTTGTATATATTAGGTTGGCGCAAAATAATGACGTAATAATGTCGTTTTTTGACGTATTTTTAAGGTCAAAAACGACATTATTACTTCATTATACCAACCTAATATATATATATATATATATATATATATATATATATATATATATATATGTGTGTGTGTGTGTGTGTTTATTTAAGAAAGCTAGTCTTATATATTCTCTAAGTTTCGCTTAGTTTTAAAACAAGCTACAACGGTAGTTCAAGCAACAGGAAAAAAACTCACTAACAATGGTCTGCAAGATCAAATTACTATTAGCCGTTGCTCGTCTCTTCCTGATGTGTTTCTGTGTAAATGCAATATTCTTTATACAGATGCATTGTGTAGAATAAACTTATCTATCCATTCTATATTTTATTTTTGTGTATGTGTGTGTGTTCACGCTCCATATAAGTTATATATTTCCTTATACATATGCATACATTGGTGAATATTTGTTATGTGACTGGGCATTGTGTGTGGTGGGGGGGTGCGTATGTGTTTATCTGTCCACGTACTCTGGATTCTCTTTGTGCGTGTGTGTACTTTCGTTTGTGCATCTACATGGAGTGGTGGGGCGAAGTGCGGCTTGAAATATATGTCTCTGGTGTCACCGCGTGGGAGTCGATAGGCCGATTGATATCGCTCGAGGGGAAGACTTGATCTCAAATAAATAAGGAAAAAGAACCGGAGAGAAAAAAAAAAAAAAAAAGGAAGAAGGAAAAAAAAGCGATCGGAACGTAACGAGCATTCTTAAAACTGACTATAACGCGAGATAGAATTTCAGCGGTAAGGACCGAACTGTAGAAAGTGACTCGCACGAAGCAGGAGTTGGGAGATATCGAAATAGAAACGGTTACATAGCAAGGGAGATTGAAAAGGTGATCAATGGAGAAAGTAAGCCCAGTGCGCATGCGTCTCTTTAAAAGCGTAGTGAGAGCGAAAGAAAAGTTTTAAGAAGTGGGTGAGGCTTTATTATCCGAAATTAGGGAAATTACAAACGAAAAAAGGGTGTGGTGTACAGGTAGGTAAATAAATAATTATGAGTTTATTTAACTAGACTCGTTCGAACTTTGTGCGATGCGGCATTTTTTATTTATTTATTTTTTATTTATTTATTTTTTTTTTTTTTTTTGAATAGTTAATTTTTACGATATTTCCAGCTTTGAACAAAAGTAGTATAACTTTAGCTACGAAAAATTAAGCCCAATGTCATAATTCCTTATTTTATACACACACCAGATACACCTAACTCACAAAAACCTGCAGATAATCTTGTTAATTCCACAAGGTCTAATATCTGCCAAATTTTTGATGACCTCATTTTCTTTTTTTTTTTTTTTTCCATTTCGTGAAATATATTTCTTTGATGCTCTGATACAGTAATGTTTTTAGCCGAGAATCATTAGGGGTTTCGGGTTTTACAATGTCGGATATCGACTTGCGTGCCATCCGTTAACTATTCTCCTAGTATAAGGCTGCATTCACCCTGGGCGGATTGAGCCGGCTTCTTCCTGTTCGGAGAAGAAGATTCTTGGGATAAATTACGAAGTAGGGTACCCAGGCCTACTCGAATAACGTTCTTTGCTTGCGCGGGGGTTCCCGCAGACGCAGAGACAAGGAACGACCAGAAGCCGCCAGTTACCGATGCAGACGCTCCATGGATTTTCACCAGAGCCCTTGTTAGCCGGCGTGTGTGTCAGACCTGTCCGCCTTGGGTGGCCCTACCAGGAACGAAGTTCCGGGCGGCATAACTCTGACACTACCGTTTACACCCCCCCACCGACTGTGAGGTAAGGGTTGGACTTTGGGGCTTACAGTACCAGGTGTTCCCAAGCGGTCCCCCATCTAAGTACTGACCTGGCTCTACGTTGCTTAACTTCGGTGATCGTACGAGAACCGGTGTTTCAGCGTGATTTGACCGTAAGCTCGTAAGGCTGCTTAACATATTACAACTCATCTGGCGTTTATAGTTCAATCACGAACAACAACTGATAATTATTTAATATATTGATTATGTACTCGTAATACTCATGAAAATTGCTCGCTCTTCCTACTTTAATTTTATGATGAATCTTAATTCTTCAGATAATTATTGAATAAGCTCATGATAAGTTCTACGACAGTAAAAAATCAGTAGAAATTCTCCTATCGCATTATTAAATACTTGAGGTTAACAATTTTAACAAGACATTGCAATGACAATCATAAATATGAATGCTTGTCTTTATTTTAAGAAGTGTGTAGAAATGAAAAGATTTGAACTTGACATTTCTTTTCATTTCACTAAAACAGCCGTTAAACACTTCTGTCTTCACTTCTTTCTTTCTTTATTCTTTTCTTTCGTTCATTTTCTCACTGAAACCAAGTAGCGTCTTTAATATGCCTTTTGACTTCTCATGCAATCAAAATGGAATTGTTCATTATTTATGAGTTATTGGCAGGAGACGTTAAACATTTCTATCTTCCCTTCTTTCTTTCTTTCTTTCTTTCTTTTTTATGTCTTTATTTCTTTCTCTCCCGCTTTCACTGAAACCAAGTAGTACCTTTTCTCCTCTTTCCACGCGATCAAAACGGAATAGTCCATAATTTATGAGATAGTGGCAGAAGACCTTAAACATTTCTATCTTCTCTTCTTACTTTCTTTCTTTTTTAAGTCTTTAGTTTTTCTCCTTCTCTCTCACTGTAACCAATAATACCTTTTCTCCTCTTTCCACGCGATCAAAACGGAATAGTCCATAATTTATGAGATAGTGGCAGAAGACCTTAAACATTTCTATCTTCTCTTCTTACTTTCTTTCTTTTTTAAGTCTTTAGTTTTTCTCCTTCTCTCTCACTGTAACCAATAATACCTTTTCTCCTCTTTCCACGCGATCAAAACGGAATAGTCCATTATTTATGAGATAGTGACAGGGCGCAACGGTCGTGCGAAATAACGAAGGGCGAGACAAACACAATTATAATAGGATTATTATATTATACATTATTATCTAATATAATAATTTAATATTTAGTAATAATCAAGGTCTAATAACAACAAATGTTAATCAAATAATGTAATCGATCACTTTCTCACCGACGCCACGTGGCTTCCCTCTGTCTTTTCTACAAATATTTTCATTGCAACTGCTCTGGTGAGCTTTTTTCCTAGGTGTGCGACGATATGAATTTAAGCGTGCTACTTGATTGCCATTAAGGTCCCACCTGTTTACTGTTGATATAGCTAAATGTAACCGCCACCCGTTCGAGTAGATACTCGAACGGTTTCTTTTCTCGCCCTTTTCACCCGTGGAACTCCCTTCCGTTTACTTGCTTCCCTAATAACCACAGAATTCCAAAAAATTAAATGCAACATCAATAGATATGAGGATAAGGAAGATAGATAGCGATGACCCATGAGTTGGAGAGGATAAGATTGTAGTGCTCAAGGAAGCATCCACGCGGAGTTTGTTCCACAAACTAGTAGTTCTCGGTGAAAAAAGCTGAATGAAACTTTATACGAAGGAAATATGGATGATTCAAATCCGTTCAAGTGGCATGGCCTTTCCTAGATGAGAAGGTCTGAACTGATGGAACTGAAGATTGGAGCCCATCCTAACATTTACCATGGAACAATAGGTTTGCGACTTTGCGTCTGTGGGAAAGAGGTTGTAGAGTGGGAAATATGTCATCCCTTAAATGGCTTCTTGAGGAATATAGTAGTTTCCCATTGTTTCTCTACGGTTTTGCGTATAGATTTGTCATTCCCTTTGAGTTTTTTGAGCAAGTACTAGAGACACTAATCGAACTCTGAATTCGTCAAACATCTCATATCGCAGGTTTTTCTTTCAGATAAGCTATATTGCTTTCGCTTCCCTAGGTCAACTGCTGATGCATTAAAGATTACTGCGAAAAGAATCTATCAAGCTTTAGATAAGAACAGTGAAGTTCGGGTTGTTGCTTTGGACATCTCGAAAGCCTTTGACAGGGTTCAGAATACCAGTCTTCTTCACAAGTTGAAAGGTTATGTTATTTCTGAGCGATGTTTTGAACCGATTCAATCTTTCTTATTGATTCGCGAAATGAAAGTTGTCTTGAACGGCCACTCTTCTAGATCTTTTTGCGTTGATGCAGCTGTCCCCCAAGGATCTATCCTTGGACCTACGTTGTTTCTAATTTTCATCAATAATATTCCTGATGGCATCGATTTTCAACTCGGTATCTATACTCCTGTCTGTATAGTAAATTCATTGGTTCAATAAGGTCAAATTGGCAGCTGATCTCAAAAATGACCTACAATCTGTTGTTAACTGGGGCAAGGAATTGTTTGTTAATTTCAACGCCTCCAAAACGATACTACTCCCTATCAATCATCTGAGAAACCCCTTTCTGCCTTCCATCAGCATGGCTGATGCTAAGCTTCAGGAGATTGATTCGTTGGCAGCAAGGTCTCATCATTTTACAGTTGAAATGGCAAGATGTAACTCTAAGTTCTATGCTAACAATTTCTTCTCTTGCACCTCTCGCTTTACGAACTCCCAATTGTTATCTTCTGTCTTCATAATTTTGTTCTCTCCCCTTAATAGTATTTTTCTTCATATTCTCTAACACTTAGCAACCCCTTGCGTCTTAGTGGCTGTATTGTCTTGCTTGGGGTGAAATGGTTTTTAATAAAGGCTTGGCGCCACTGAAGGACGATCTGCCCTGCTATTTAGCCCATAATTGGGAGGAGAATAGATGGATTTTTCCACTTGCGAAAAAGTGAACTCAACAGACCAGAACGGAACTCGACTCACCAATTCCACTTAATGTGGCTCCGAAAGTGCAATGGAATATTAAAATACGCCTTCCAAAAGCTAAATAAAGTATTTAGAAACAGCAAAACTTCGTTAGAAACAAAGAAAAAACTTCTGAACCTCTATGCAATACCAATCCTCCTATATGTCAGTGCATACTGGACACTCTCCTTAAAGATGAAGAGAAGACTGGAAGCAACAGAAAGATGTTATATAAAAAGATGCTTGAAATACCCTGGATGGACTGCGTAAACAACGAAGAAGTCACGAGAAAAATAGAAACGAGTCCAACACACATTAAGAATCATAAATAAATCGCTGAAAATTCTATGGCACATAATGAAGAAAGAAGACTCGCAGAACTTGACACTCATAGGACATAACGAAAACAAAAGGGACTTGGCGAGCCAGCGGGCCACCTACCTGACGAGCTTGTATTAATAGATGGCGGAACTGGGGTTGTGAGAGCTGGCAAAAGACAAAGCTTACTAAGAGCTATAACTGATAAGAAGCTGTGGGGAGCTATGATCGTCTCGTCCTGGAGATAGGGCACAGAAAAAAAGAATCATACTAGAGTAAAGATATTTTTTTTAAATGTCATGGTGTCTTCAGGACGTAGGTAATCATGGCTCTCGACAAATTCCTCATCTTTATTATCTGTGAATTGACATATATTCGTGTCTGGGGATATTGAACTGGTTTCAAGTTAACTTCTACACAGTTTGGTCTCCGGATTTTTCCATCTCTTTAGATGTATAAATAACTAGCAGTAGAGCCCGGCGTTGCCCGGGGATGTAAAAGTAAGAGATAGATATATCGACCATCATAAAGACTGAAAAATAAAATTGACAAAGATTATTGTTTAAGGTTGACGGACACGCATGTCTTAATTTTTTTTTTAATTGTTTTTTATTTTTTCTTCTTTTTTTTACGAATTGGTCAAACCCAAACTCAAACAAAAACATTGTTTTCAATCGTTATGAGTCTACTTATTGAGTAGAATTTTATTATAAACAATTGTCTTGTAAATGGAATTTTTAAAGCATTCTGAATGTAAAAATAAAGCAAAAAGTGTGTAAGACAATAAGAAACACAACCTGCCAAAAAAAGTTTTGCTGAAATTGGCTGAAAAATGTAGGAAACCCGATCCCATATATAAACGAACACAGACACACACACACACACAAACAACCTGGGTTTTATAAGTATAACTCGATATGAGTTGTCCCCCTTTCATTCAGCGATGCCTCTTAATCGTGTTTTTAAATTGATTTCGTGCAAAAACAATTGTGTTTTTCCAATTTTTGGCGCTGTCAGAACCACTACAAGGTAATTTTACGTAGTCCTGTGAAGTTTTGTTGAAATCGGTTGAAAAATGTAGGAAATACGATCCAATATATAAACGTACAGACACACACACACACACACACACAAACACACACACACACGCACGCACACGCAACATGCGTCTTATAATAAGTAAGATTTAAAATAATGAATTGGAAGTTTCCTTTGATTCTTAAGAAACATTTTTCTTCCCATCTTTAATTTGCTTTTAAAACATTCTGAGAGCAAGCCCAAATACGAGAAAACAACTGTATGAAGATTGGGTTACAATAATCTTTTAGATTAGTATTAGAAAATCGGCATTTGAAATACGGTTTATATCCGGAGACGAACACAGACTTTTCGCATGAGTGAGCTGATATGGAACTTTTGCACCTTGAAGACAAGCCTCTATTTTTCTATATTTTTAATTCCAATTTCATTCTGCAATCCGTCTCTTTTGTTTCACACATCTCTTCATTTCTTTTTTTTTCTCTCGGCTCTCTCCTTCCTCTTTTTCATCTCGGTTTTCTTGTCTCTTTTTTCTTTCGGCTATAAATTTCCAAATGGGATGCGTTTGAAAATCAAAATTCGAAATACTTTTTTTTTTTTTTTTTTTTTTTTTATCCGGAATCGAACACCTACTTTTTGCACGAGTGGGAAAAATACTTAACTGTTGCATCTTGATGACAAGCTTCTATTTTCCAACATTTTTTATTCTTAGCTCTTTCTCCTATTCGACATTTTTCTCTCATCATTCTCTTTCTCTTTTTTATCTCTCAGCTCTCTTTCTCTCTTTTCTCTTTCATTTCTCTTTCCCTCTCAGCTTTAGGCTCTCTTTCGCTCTTTTTCTCTTTCATTTCTCTTTCGCTCTTTTCTCTTTTTCTCATTTTCTCCTTTCCTCTCAGCTCTTTAATTTCCTCTTTTCTCTTTCATTTCTCTTTTAAGAAAGCCTCTCTTTTTCGCTCTTTTCTTTTTCATTTCTCTTTTCCCCTCTCAGCTCTCTTTCTCTCTTTTTTCTCTTTCATTTCTTTCTTTTCCCTTTAAAGCTTCTCTTTTCTCTCTTTTCTCTTTCATTTCTCTTTTTCCCTCTCTCTCTTTCTCTCTCATTTTCTTTTCTCTCATGAAACATTTTTCCTCTAGGCTCTCTTTCTCTCTTTTCTCTCTCATTTCTCTTTTCCCTCTCGCTCTCTTTCTCTCTTTTCTCTCTCATTTCTCTTTTCCCTCTAGGCTCTCTTTCGCTCTTTTCCCTTTCATTTCTCTTTTCCCTCTCGGCTCTCTTTCTCTCTTTTCTCTTTCATTTCTCTTTTCCCTCTCGGCTCTCTTTCGCTCTTTTCTCTCTTTCATTTCTCTTTTCCCTCTCGGCTCTCTTTCTCTCTTTTCTCTTTCATTTCTCTTTTCCCTCTCGGCTCTCTTTCTCTCGTTTCTCTTTCATCTTTCTCTCTTTTCCCTGAATAAAATCTCTTTCTCTCTTTTCTCTCTCATTTTCTTTTTCCCCTCTTTTGCTCTCTTTTTCTTTTTCTCTCTTTTTCTCTTTTCCCTCTCCCTCTCTCTCTTTCGCTCTTTTTCCTCATTTCTCTTTTTTCTCCTTTTCCCTCTTTCATTATCTTTCTCTCTTCTCTTTCATTCTTTTCTCTTTTCCCTTTCTCTTTCTCTTTGGAAAATTTTCTCTTTCATTTCTCTTTTCCCTCTTCTTCTCTCTTTGTCTCTTTTTCTCTCTTATTTCTCTTTTCTCTCTTTTCTCTCTCTTTTCTCTTTTCTCTCTCATTTCTCTTTCTCTTTTTCCCTCTCTCCTCTCTCTTTTCTCTCTTTTCTCTCTCTCTTTTTCTCTTTCATTTCTCTTTTTCTCATTTCTCTCTCTTTTTCTTTATTTCTCTCTTTTCTCTTTTCTCATTTTCTCTTTTTCTTTCTTTTTCTCTTTTTTCTCTCTTTTCTCGTTTTTTCTCTCCTCTCATTTCTCTTTCTCTCTCATTTTCTTTTTCTCTCTTTTTCTCTTTTCCCTTTTCCCTCTCTTTCTTTTCTCTTTTCTTTTTCTCTCATTTTCTTTTCCCTCTCTCTTCTCTTTCTCTCATTTCTCTCTCATTTCTCTTTTCTTTCTCTCTCTCTTTCTCTCTTTTCTCTCTCATTTTCTCTTTTTTCCCTCTTAGGCTGTTCTCTCTCATTTCTCTTTTCTACATTTTCTCTTTTCTCTCATTCCTAGCTTTCTCTTTCTTTCTCTTTCTCTTTTCTTTTTCTCTTTTTCGTTTCTCTTTCATTTCTCTTTTCCCTCTCAGCTCTCTTTCTCTTTTCTCTCTTCTTTCATTTCTCTCTCTCTCCCTTCTTTCTTCTCATTTCTCTCATTTCTCTTTTTCCCTCAGCTTTCTCTTTTCTCTTTTCTCTTTCATTTCTTTTTTCCCTCTCATTTCTTTTTCTCTTTCTCTCTTTTCTCTTTCATTTTCTCTTTTCCTCTCAGTTTTTCTCTTTCTTAGGTTCCCTTTTCTCTTTTCATTTCTCTTTTCCTCTCGGTGTTTCTCTCTTTCTCCTCATTCTCTTTTTCTCTTTCATTTCTCGGATTTCTCCCTCTCAGTTTCTTTTCTCTTTTTCTCTATTTCTTTTTTCTTGCCATCTTTCTCTTTTTCTCAAAATTTTCGGCTCTCTCTTTCTCTTTCATTCTTTCTTCTTTTCTTTTTCATTTTCTTTTCCCTCTTTTCTCTTTTCTTTCATTCTCTTTTTTCTTCTTTTCTCTTTTCATTTTCTCTTTTTTTTCTCTTTTTCTCTTTTCTCTCTTTTTCTCAGCTCTCTTTTTTCTTTCATTTCTCTTTTCCCCTCTCATCTTTCTTTCATCTTCTCATTTTCTCTTTCATTTTCCTTTTCTTTCTCTTTTTTTCTTTTCCCGCTATCGTTTCTTCTCTCTCTTCTCTTTCTTCTCTCTTTTTCTAATATTTCTTTTTCCCATTTCTCTTTTCCCTCTCTCTCTTTCTCTTTTTTTTCTTTTTTTCTTTTTTTTCCTTTTTCTTTCATTTCTCTTTGCTCTCTTTCTCTATTTTTTCTCTCGGCTCATTTCTCTCATTTCTCTCTTTTCTCTTTTCTTTTCTCTTTCATTTCTCTTTTCCCTCTTTTTTCTCTCTTTTTTTCTCTTTTCCCTCTCAGCTCTTTTTTTCTCTTTTAATTTCCCTTTCATTTCTCTTTTCCCTCTCTCGTCTCTTTCTCTCTCTTTCATTTCTCTTTTCTTTTCTTTTCATTTCTCTTTTTTTTCCCTCTCAGCTCTCTTTCTCTCTTTTCTCTTTTTTTCTCATTTCTCTTTAAATTTCTAATTTCTCTTTCAAAGCTCTTTTCTCTTTCATTTCTCTTTTTCTCTCTAATTCTCTCTTTCTTTCAAACAATTTTCTCTTTTCCCTTCTCTCTCTTTTCTCTTTGCTCTTTTTCATTTCTCTTTTTTCCTTTTTTTCTCTTTTCATTCTCTTTTTTTTCCATTTCTCTTTTCTTTAGATTCTCTTTCATCTCTCTTTTTCTTTTTCTTTCATTTTCATTTTTCCCTCTAGGCTCTCTCTTTTCTCCCTCATCTCATTTTCTTTTCTTCTCTTTCTCTCTTTTCTCTCTCCTTTCTCTTTTTTCTCTTTTTTCATTTTTCTCTTTCTTTTCTCTTTAAATTCTCTTTTTTTCTTTTTTCTCTTTCATTTCTCTTTCTTTTCCCTCTAAACTCATTTCTCTCTTTCTCTTTTCATTTTTTCTCTTTTTTTTTACGTGATCTTTTTCTCCCTTCTCTTTCTCTTTTTCCGTATTTTCTCTTTTTCTCTCTTTTCTTTCCCCCTTTCTTTCTTTTTCTTTTTTCTTTTTCTCTTTTCTTTCATTTCTTTTTTCCTCTCGGCTCTCTTTTTCGTTTTTCTCTTCATTTCTCTTTTCCCTCTCATTTCTTTCTCTTTTTCTTCTCATTTCTCTTTTTTCTTTCCTCTCTCTTTTCTTTCTCTTTTCTCTTTTCTCTTTCATTTTCATTTCTCTTTTTTTCATCTCAGCTCTCTTTCTCTCTTTTTCTCTTTCATTTCTCTTTTCCCTCTTTCTCTCTTTTTCATTTCTTTTTCTCCTATCTCTTTTCTCTCTCTTTTTCTCCTTTTCCCTCTTTCTTTTCTCTTTTTCTTTTCTCTTTCATTTCTCTTTCCCTTTCTCTTTCTCATTTCCTTTTTCTCTTTTCTTTTCTCCCTCATTTCTTTCTCTTTCATTTCTCTTTTTATCTCTCCTTTCTCTTTTCTTTTCTCTCATTTCTTTTTCTTTCATTTTCATTTCTCTTTCATTTCATTTCTCTTTCTCTTTTTTTCATTTCATTTCTCTTTTCTCTTTTTCATTTCTCTTTTCGTTTCATTTCTCTTTTCTTTTCTTTTCTCTTTTCATTTCATTTCTCTTTTCTTTTTTCTTTCATTTCTTTTTTATCTCTTTTCTCTTTTCTCGTTTCATTTCTCATTTCTTCCTTTTATTTCATTTCTCTTTTCATTTCTCTTTTTTCTCTTTTTCATTTTATTTTCTCTTTTTTTCCTCTTTTCTCTTTCATTTCTCTTTTCTTTCTTTCTCTCTTTTCTCTTTCATTTCTCTCTTTCTCTATCTCTTTCATTTCTCTTTTCCTTCTCTTTTCTATTTCATTTCTCTTTTCCTCTCTTTTTCTTTTTCTCCCTTTTCTTCTCTCTTCTCTTTCTCTTAAAAATCTCTTCTCTTTTTTCTCATTTCTCTTTTCCCCTTCTTTCTTTTCCTCATTTCATTCCCCTCTCGGCTCTCTTTTCTCTTTTCTCTTTCATTCTCTTTTCCCTCTTCTCTTTCTCTCTTTTCTCTCTCTTTCTCTTTTTCTCCTCTTTCTCTTTTTTCTTCATTTCTCTTTTCCCTTTTCTCTTTTTTTTTTCATTTCTCTTTTTTCTCTCAGCTTTTCATTTTCTTTTTTCCCTCTCGCTCTATTTTTCTAATTTTTCTTTTCTCTCTTTCTCTCTTTTCCCTTTCATTTCTCTTTCTCTCTTTTCTCTTTCTTTCATTTCTCTTTTCCCTCTTTTCTCTTTTTCTTATTTTCTCTTTCATTTTCTTTCATCCCTCATTTCTATTTCTCTCTTTTTTTCTCCCTCTCAGCTCTCTTTCTCTCTTTTTCTCTTTCATTTCTCTTTTCCTCTCTCTCTCTTTCATTTCTCTTTTTCTCTTTTTTTCATTTCTCTTTTTCCCCTCTCTTTCTCTCTTTCTCTCTTTTCTCTTTTTCTCTCTTTTTTCTCATTTTCCTCTCGGCTCTCTTTCTCTTTTCTCTCTCATTTCTTTCATCTCTTTTCTCTTTGTTCCTCTTTCTCTTAATCTCTCTCTTGCTCTTTTCTTCTCTTTCTCTTTTTTTTTTCTCTTTTCATTTCTCTTTTCTCTCGCTCTCTTTTCTCTCATTTTCTTTTTTTCTCTCTTCTTCTCAAATTTCTTATTTTTTTCTCCTCATTTCTCTTTCATTTGATCTCTTTTCGCTCTCTTTTTTTTCTCCTTTCTTTTCTCCTCATTTTTTTTTCTCTCTCTTTCGCTCTTTTCTTTCTCTTTTCCCTCTCTCTCATTTCCTCTTTTCCTCTCTTTTCTCTTTTTCTCTCTCTTTCTCTCTTTTTCTCTTTTCCTTTTCTCTCCTCTCTCTCTCTTTCTCTTTTTCTCTTTCATTTCTCTTTTCCTCTCGGCTCTCTTTCTCTCTTTCTCTCATTTTCTTTCTTTTCCCTCTTTTTCTCTCTCTTCTCCTCTTTCTTTCCTTTTCTTCTCCTCTTGGCTCTTTTTCTCTTTTCTCCTCTTTTCTTTTCCCTCTCATCTCTTTCTCTTTTCTCCCTCATTTTCTCTCTCTAGCTCTCTTTCCGCTCTTTTCCCTTTCTCTTTTTCTCTCATCTTTTCATTTTCTCTTTTCCCTCTCGCTCTCTTTTCTCTCTTTTCTCTTTAATTTCTCTTTTCCCTTTTCTTCTCTTTCTCTTTTCTTTCTATTTCTCTTTCATTTCTCTTTTCCCTCTCGGCTCTCTTTCGCTCTTTTCTCTTTCATTTCTCTTTTCCCTCTCGGCTCTCTTTCTCTCTTTTCTCTTTCATTTCTCTTTTCCCTCTCGGCTCTCTTTCTCTTTTCTCTTTTCTCTTTTCCCTCAGCTCTCTTACTCTTTTCTCTTTCATTTCTCTTTTCCCTCTTTCTCTATTCTCTTTTCTCTTTCATTTCTCTTTTCCCCTCAGCTCTCTTTCTCTTTTCTCTTTCTCTTCTCTCTCTCTCTTTTTCTTTTCTCTCTCTTTTTTTCTCTCTTTTCTCTCTTTTCTTTTTTCCTCTCTTTCTCTCTCTCTCATTTTCTCTCTCATTTCTCTCTTTTTTCTCTCTCTCTTTTTTCTCTTTTTCTCTCTTTCTCTCTTTTCTTCATTTCTCTTTTTCTCTCTCTTTTCTCATTTTTTCATTTCTCTTTTCCCTCTCTCTCTTTTCTCTTTTTCTTTCATTTCTCTCGCTCTCTTTCGCTCTTTCTCTTTTTCTCTTTTTTCTCGCTCTCTTTCTCTTTTCTCTCTCATTTCTCTTTTCTCTCTCTCTTTCTTTTTCTCTTTCATTTCTCTTTTCCCTCTCTCTCTTTCTCTCTCTTTTCTCTCTTTCATCTCTCTTTTCCCTCTCGCTCTCTTTCTCTCTTTTCTCTCTATTTTTCTTTTCCCTCTCTCTCTTTTCTCTTTCTCTCCTCTTTTCCCTCTCGCTCTCTTTCTCTTTTTCTCTTTCATTTCTCTTTTTCTCTCTCTTTCCTCTTTTTCTCTCTCATTTCTCTTTTCCCTCTTTCTCTCTTTCTCTCTTTTCTCTTTCATTTCTCTTTTCTCAGCTCTCTTTCTCTTTTTCTCTTTTCTCTTTTCCCTCTTCTTTTCTCTCTTTTTCTCTTTTCTCTCTCTTTTTTCTCATTTTTTCCTCTCTCTTTCGCTCTTTTCTCTTTCATTTCTCTTTTCCCTCTCGGCTCTCTTTCTCTCTTTTCTCTCTCATTTCTCTTTTCCCTCTCGGCTCTCTTTCTCTCTTTTCTCTCTCATTTCTCTTTTTCCCTTCTCTTTTTCTTTTCATTCATTTCTCTTTTTCTCTCTTTTCTCTTTTCTCTCATTTCTCTTTTTCCCTCTCTCTTTTTCATTTCTTTCAGTTTTTCTCTCCATTCTCTTTTCCCTCTTTCTTTCTCTTTTTTCTCTTTCATTTCTCTTTTTTCCCTCTCATTTCTCTTTTCCCTTTCTCTCTTTTCTCTTTCTCTATCATTTCTCTTTTCCCTCTCGGCTCTCTTTCTCTCTTTTCTCTCATTTCTCTTTTTTCTCTTTTCCTCCTCTCTTTCTCTTTTTCTCTCTTTTCATTTCTCTCATTTCTCTTTTTCCCTCTCGCTTTTTTTCTCTTTCATTTCTCTTTTTCTCTCTTTTCTCTCTCATTTTCATTTTTTCTCTGGGCTCTCTTTCTCCATTTCTCTTCTTCCTCTAGGCTCTCTCCTTTCTCTCTTTCTCATTTTCTTTTCCCTCTCGGCTCTCTTTCTCTTTTTCTCTCTCATTGCCTCTTTTCTCTCTTTCTTTTTTCTCTTTCCTTTTCTCCCATTTTCTCCCCTCAAATCCTTTCTCTCTTTTCTCTCTCATTTCTCTTTTCCTCTTTCGCTCTTTTCTCCCTCATTTCTCTTTTCCCTCTAGGCTCTCTTTCTCTCTTTTCTCTTTCATTTCTCTTTTCCTCTCTCTCTCTTTCCTTTCTCTCTTTCTCTCTCCCTCATTTTCTTTTCTCTCCTCTCTCTTTCTCTCTTTGTCTCTTTTCTCTTTTCCCTCTCTTTTTCTTTTTCTCTCTTTTCTCTCTTTCTCTCTTTTCTTTCATTTCTCTTTTCCCTCTTCAGCTCTCTTTCGCTCTTTTCTCCTTTCATTTCTCTTTTTCCCTCTCGCTCTCTTTTTCTTTTCTCCTCATTTCTCTTCTCCCTCTCTTTCTCCTTCTCTCTCTCTTTTTTTCTCTCTTTCGCTCATTTCTCTTTTTTCTTTTCCCTCTCAGCTCTCTTTCTCTCTTTTTCTCTTTCATTTCTCTCTTTCTCTTTTCTCTCTCTTTTCCCTCTCAGCTCTCTTTTCTCATTTCTCTCTTTCTCTTTCCCCTCTTTCTCTCTCTTTTTTCTTTTCTCTCTCTTTCCCTCTCGCTCTTTTCTCTCTTTTCTCTTTCATTTCTCTAGGCTCTCTTTTTCTCTTTTCTCTTTCTCTTTTTTCATTTCTCTCTTTCATTTCTCTTTTTTCTCGGCTCTTTTTTCTCTCTCTCTTTCATTCTTTTCTCTCTCTTTCATTTCTCTCTCTCTTTCCTTTTCTCTCTTTCTCTTTTTTCTCTCTCTTTTTCTTTCTCTCTTTTCTCTCTCATTTCTCTTTTCCCTCTCTTTTTCTTTTCTCTTTCATTTCTCTCTTTTTCCTCTCTCTCTTTTTCTTTTCTGTTTCATTTCTCTTTTCCCTCTTCTCTTTCTCTCTTTTCTTTCTCATTTCTCTTTTTCCTCTTTTTTTTCTCTTTTTTCATTTCTCTTTTTCCCTCTCAGCTCTCTTTCTCTTTTCTCTTTCTCTCTTTTCTCTTTTCTCTTTTGTTTCTCTTTTTCTCGGCTCTCTTTCTTCTTTTCTCTCTTCATTTCTCTTTCTCTCTTTTTCTCTTTCAGGCTCTCTTTCGCTTTTCTCTTTCATTTCTTTTTTTCCTCTCTCTCTTTCGGCTCTTTTCTCTTTCATTTCTCTTTTCCTCTCTCTCTTTTCTCTTTTCTCTCTCATTTCTTTTTTCTTTCTCTCTTTTTCTCTTTCTCTCTTTTCTTTTCTCCTCATTTCTCTTTTCTCTTTTCCCTCTCGGCTCTCTTTCTCTCTTTTCTCTTTCATTTCTCTTTTCCCTCTCGGCTCTCTTTCTCTCTTTTCTCTTTCATTTCTCTTTTCCTCTAGGCTCTCTTTCTCTTTTCTCTCTCATTTCTTTCTCTTCTTTTCTCTTTTCTCTCTTTTTCTCTTTCCTTTCTCTCTTTTCCCTTGTCTCTCTTTCTCTTTTCTCCCTCATTTCTCTTCTCCCTCTAGGCTCTCTTTCGCTCTTTCTCCCTTTCATTTCTCTTTTCCTCTCAGCTCTCATTTCTCATTTTCTTTTTTTCATTTTCTTTTCCCTTTCTTTCTCTTCTCTCAGCTTTTCTCTTTTTCTCTCATTTCTCTTTTCCCTCTCGCTCTCTTTCGCTTTTTTCTCTTCTCTTTTCCCTCTCAGGTCTCTTTCTCTCTTTTCTCTTTCATTTCTCTTTTTTCTCGCTCTCTTTCTCTTTTCTCTTTCTTTCTCTTTTCTAGGCTCTTCTCTCTTTTTCTCTGTTCGGCTCTCTTTTCTTCATTTCTCTTTCTCTCTCTTTTTCTTTCATTTCTCTTTTCCCCTCTTCTCTTTCTCTTTTCTTTTCCTTTCCTCTTTTTCCCTCTCTTCTCCTTTAGCTCTTTTTCTTCCCTATTTCTCTTTTCTCCCTCATTCTCTTTTTTTTCCCTCTCTTCTCTTTCGCTCTTTTCTCTCTCATTTCTCTTTTCCCTCTCTACTCTCTTTTCTCTTTTTCTTTCATTTTCTTTTCCCTCTCAGCTCTCTTTTCTCTTTTCTCTTTCATTTCTCTTTTTCCCTCTCTCTTTTCTCTTTCATTTCTCTTTTTCTCTCTTTTCTCTCTTTTTTCTCATTTCTCTTTTTCTCTCAACTCTCTTTCTCTCTTTTTTCTCATTCATTTCTCTTTTCCCTTCGGCTCTCTTTCTCTCTTTCTCTTTCATTTCTCTTTCCCTCTCGCTCTCTTTCTTCTTTTCTCTTTCATTTTCTTTCCCTCTTTCTCTCTTTCTCTTTCATTTCTCTTTTCCCCTTCGATTTCTCTTTTTTTTCTCTCTCATTTCTCTTTTCCCTCTCTCCATTTCTTTTCTCTCTCATTTCTCTTTTCCCTCTCGGCTCTCTTTCGCTCTTTTCTCTTTCATTTCTCTTTTCCCTCTCGGCTCTCTTTCGCTCTTTTCTCTTTCATTTCTCTTTTCTCCCTCTCTTTCTCTCTTTTCTCTCTCATTTTTTCTTTTCTCTTTTCCTCTTTCTCTTTTCTCTCTTTTCTCTTTCATCCTCTAGGCTCTCTTTTCTCTTTTTTCTTTCATTTCTCTTTTCCCTCTAAGGCTCTCTTTCGCTCTTTTTCTTTCATTTCTCTTTTCTCTCATTTCTCTCTTTTCTCTTTCATTTCTCTTTTCCTCTTCTCTTTTCTCTTTTTTCTTTCCTTTCCCTCTCGGCTCTCTTTTCTTTCTCTCATTTCTCTTTTCCCTCTCGGCTCTCTTTCGCTCTTTTCTCTCTCATTTCTCTTTTCCCTCTAGGCTCTCTTTCTCTTTTCTCTTTCATTTCTCTTTTCCCTCTCGGCTCTCTTTCGCTCTTTTCTCTTTCATTTCTCTTTTCCCTCTCGGCTCTCTTTCTCTCTTTTCTCATTTCTCTTTCTCCCTTTCTCTTTTCGGCTCTTTTCTTTTTTCATTTTCTTCTCTCTTCTCTCTTTCTCTCTTTTCTGTCATTTCTCTTTTCCCTCTAGGCTCTTTTTCTCATTTCTCTCTTTTCCCTCTAGGCTCTCTTTCGCTCTTTTCCCTTTCATTTCTCTTTTCCCTCTCGGCTCTCTTTCGCTCTTTTCTCCCTCATTTCTCTTTTCCCTCTCGGCTCTCTTTCTCTCTTTTCTCTTTCATTTCTCTTCTCCCTCTACTCTTTTCTCTCTGTTCTCTTTTTCCCTCTCCTCTCTTTCTCTTTTCTCCCTCATTTCTCTTTCCTCTTCCTTTCTTTCTCTTTTCAGCTCTTTTCTTTTCTCCTCATTTCTCTTTCTCTTTCTCTTTCGCTCTTTTCCCTTTCATTTCCCTTTTCCCTCTCTCTCTCTCTCATTTCTCTTTTCCTTTCAGCTCTCTCACCCTCATTTCTCTTTTCTAAGCTCTCTTTCTCTCTTTTTCTTTTTCTCTTTCCCTCTAACTCTCTTTCTCTCTTTTCTCTCTTCTTTTCTCTTTTTTCTCCCTCAGGCTCTCTTTCTCTCTTTTCTATCTCATTTCTCTTTTTCTGTCTCTCTTTCTCTTTTTTTCTCCCCTTTTCTGTTTTCCCTCTAAGCTCTCTTTGTCTTTCGTTTCATTTTCCCTCTCTTTCTCTTTTCCTCTCTCTCTTTCTCTCTCTCTGTCTTTTTCTCTTTTACTCTTTTTTTCATTTTTTTTTCTCTCTTTTCTCATTTCTCTTTTCTCCTTATCTTTTTTTTTCTCATTTCTCTTTTCCCCTCACTTCTCTTTTCCCTTTCATTTCTCTTTTCCCTCCTCTGACTTTTCTCTGTTCTCTTTTTCTCTCTCAGCTTTCTCATTTCTCTCTCCCTCAGCTCTCTTTCTCTTTTCTATCTCATTTCTTCTCTTTTTTCCCTCTGCCCCTTTCTCTCCCCTCATTTTTCTCTCTCTCCCTCTAGGCTCTCTTTCTCTCATCTCACAGCTCTCTTTCTCTTTCCCTTTCACACTCTCTCTCTCGTTTCTCTCTCTTTTCCCTCTCTCTCTTTTCTCTTCTCTTTTCTCTCTCTTTTCTTTCTCTTCTTTTCTCTCTCAGCTCTCTTTTTTTTTTTCTCTCTCCCTTTTTTTATCTCTTTTCTCTCTCGCTCTTCTCTCTCAGCTTTCTTCTCTCTCTCTCTCTTTTTCTCTCTTCTCTCTCTCTCTCTCTCTCAACTCTCTTTTCTTTTCTTTTTCTCTCTCTCTCTTTCTCTCTCTCTCTTTTCTCTCTCTCTTTCTCTCTTTCTCCCTTGTTTGTCCCTTCTCTTTCTCTTTTCTCTCTCCTTTTGTTGTCCTTCTCTTTCTCTTTTTCTCCTCTTCTCTCTTTTTTGTTTCTCAGGCTCTCTCTCCCCTCTCTCTCTCTCTCTCTCTCTCTCTTATTTTCCTTCTCTCCTCTCTCTTGCTCCTTTTCTCTCTCCAACTCTCTCTCTCTGTCTCTTCACTCTCTTCCTCTCTCTCTCTCTCTCTTCTGTCTTTCTCTCTTTTCTCTCTCAACTGTCTCTCTTTCCCCACCACATCGTTGCTTTAACTGGATCGAACCGTATCAAATCGAATACTGACACACACTCTCCCCCTCTCTCTCTCTCTCTCTTCTGTCTCTCTCTCTCTCTGGCTCTCTCTCTCTCTCTTCTTGTCTTTCTCACTTTGTTCTCTAATCTTCTCTGTTCTCCTTTAAAATCTTTTGCAAAGCAATTCCTATGAGTGCAAGCACGTGGACGAAAAAGAAACACGCTGTGAAATGACGCGCGTAAACGCATTTTATACTCCGATGGAGTCAAAAGGCAAACTCGATGGATAGAAAAACATCTCCCATTTATTCTTTGTATCCACCGAGAGGAATTCCTTATTTCCAGAACATGAAACGATTCTGGGTCAGATATTAAGAAAATGAGAGCATTACACGCTTAGTTCCGGGATAATATGGGTCGGCGTACCAATTTCACATTGTCTGTGATTGTGTAGTCTTCACTTCTCACAAGGCCTCAGGGTCATTGCTACTACCTATATCGAGATGCGGGAAGTAAGGGTCAATCCCTAGTTTGAGGTGGTAGCCCAAAGAAAGTTTGTTTTTTTATCAGCAAATCTCTGCTCCCTGCTAATTACCCAAAATGACTCGGGAGTAGCTGGCTAAAAATCTTCACCTCACCCCACAAGTGGCTTTCTAGCTGTCCAGGTTAGTCTGAACTATTACGCCTGGAGTGTCATCGATAAGCCTGACCAACCAGTATTCCCACAGCTCGAAGGACACGTTGAAGGCCACCGTAGGGGACATGATGGCCAATGTTAGGAACAAGAATAACTTGATCGAAGAATGCAGTTGCTTCCAAATCCACATTGAAGCCATCTACATAACTGAGGGTAGACCTTTTTTCTAAGTTAAACAGATGTACAAATTTTTAAAAAATATGTTTGTTTATTATTATTTGGCATAATCTGTCTATTATAAATAGAAACCCCTGTATGTGTATACGCATACAAATTTCCAAAGTCAATGCCACCATCTATATCAAGATGCTGTATACACTGGTCAAGCCCTAGATTGAAGGAATTGTCCGAGGTTTGCCATACATGTTCAAGCAGGACTCTGCTCACCCTCACATAGACTGGCTTACGGCAATATCAGATTGAAATACCGCTTCTCGTACGATCACCAAAGTTAAGCAACGTCGAACCTGGCCAGTACCTAGATAGGTGACTGTTTGGGAGTACCAGGTGCTTTAAGTGCTGTAATGGATAACGGCACGGAATTGGAAATCGGAGGTCTGAGTTCCAGCCTGGTTCGTTATATTCACTTACTCACAAATACCCTTGGGAAAGGTATGAATTCACCTCTTCTACCCACCCCAGGTATGGGTTAATTAGTAGGGCTTGTATCAGTAAGTCCTTATTATCTAAGAAAATGTACAATGTAAAAATATTTTCTGTGTTTAAATATCCTGCAAAAGGTTGATAAACCGTAAAAAATCAATTAATCAACATATCAGTCCATATGACCTAGAATTATTTAATTGACTGGGAATTTTCATGCTCATACCCTCCACATCGTGTTGCCTCATAGCTCCCTTGGACAAACGTCCGGAGTATCATCAAGAGGAAGACCAAGTTGCCCCACAATAACAAGGACTCGTTGAAGTCTAACATCAGATGCATGATGGCCACCATGAACAAAAACCACATGATCCAAGTATGCAGTTGCTTTCATGGATACATCGTGATTAATCTTTATTCATCGAATAACCTTTTTTTTTCTAAACATATATACCGTATGTATGATATTTGAGACCACGCCTTTCTTGAACTTTAAATAGAAGATGACGGTATAAATCAAGTTTGAATCTTCGCATTTCTCTTTGAGATACATCAAGAACATCAACTCCTGGCGACTTCCAATCTTATACACGAAATGAGATAGAGACTTGGTAATAGACAGAAAGAAAAATACATAGAAACGCGAGGACGATTAAGCTTTGCACGGATTATTCTATGATAATCACGGTAATACACACCAAGGTTCGCGTCGTCTCGGATGATGATGGGCTTCGTGCGTACCAATGGCCTTGTCAAGCCCCACTTCTTCCCGCATGGTGTTAGAATCAATACCCCCGCCTATATCGTGATGTGAGACATGGAGCTTTCGATTGAGGTCCATGAATGTTCTAATAGATATTTGCTCTCTCCCACATGGTCTACGTTACCCAGGAGTAACGAGCTGCGAAATGGATAGCGGCTCGGATTGAAGAATCAGAGAGCTGAGTTCGAATTCCAGTTGAATCCATTCACTTACGTGCTAATACCCTTGGGAAAGGTATGAAACCTCTACTTCTCCTCCCAGCTATGGCAACCTACTGCGAGAAAAGATTCTGCATTGTCATTCATATATCGAAAGACACATGATCGCGTAAGCGTGTATCACGCATGTATGGATTCGACTAGAATTCGAACTCGGCTCTGCGATTTCTTAATCCGAGCCGCTATCCATTACGCCATCGTACATTTACAATAAACTCGTGTTACGTATCTCCTTAAATATTAAAATAATGTTCTCCTCTACAATTGCAAGAAATATGAGTAAATCAATAAACAAAAAATAACCTACTCTCTCTCAATTTTTTCTTTCTCCAATATCCGCGGTATTCGTACAAATTTCTCCAATATCCGCGGTATTCGTACAAATTTCTTTAATGTGGAATCCTCTCTTGAATCTTTTTCCAGATATCTTAGCACTTTGGGAAACTAATTTAAATTTTTCTATAGCTACCAATCAATTCTCTGTTCCTCTGGGTCCCTCAGCGGGGTGTAATGGTTAGCAAGCTAGGACTGAGTGGTGAGTTCGATCCTCACTGGGTCACCCACACTTTCGACCTTGTGCTACATCTAAGCTACGCTTAGAAAGAATATAATTGTGTAAATTGCTCTCGAGTAGTTTGTAACACGTTTATTTATCATCTCTCTGTTACGTCTCTGTCTTTGAGCAAAGTGCGCTCAGGGGCGACTCTGGCAAAGGACAGAGTCGCAACTGAGGAAAAATATACTTAGAGGTGCGCATTGCACTAGAGAGAGGGATCGGTTCTCACGCCGGAAAATTTTTCTTCCTAGCCCGGGTTTACGCGCTCGGGCTCCCTACATTAAACCTACCTTGTATTACAACTTGACCTGGTTTTGAGTAAAAAAATTCTCTGTCCCTCAGACCCGCTAACCATTACATTAGTTGCACATTCTTGATTGGGAAAATAACAACCAGAAACATTTAGTCCGTACATTTTCCATATTTATTGAACAAGAGTAGAGGTTTATCCCATGTTTCTTGTTTGGGACGTGACTTGTCGATTCCTTTCTTCCATGCCCGTTTAATTGTCTTAACTTTCTGTTCATCTGATTAATCAGTGGTTGCGACTCTTTCCTTTTGACGCTACCTGGTTGGCAGTTTTGTGATTGCTGCATTCCAACTTGGAACAAGGAGACAAAACTCTTTTGGAAAAGCTTGCAAAGGCTGCTCTAGTTAACTGTCGCATAATATTGGGTATCTGAAGTGACATGTTGTACATGGATTGGTGCCACTGCATGTACTTACGGTGGGCAACATTTAGGCAAAATTACGCTTTAGTTTTAGCCCACCTCCCGGCCGATTCGTATTGCCGAAGACGATGCACAGTGATAATTATCTTAACTTTTGTCTCTTTAAAAACAAAAATAAACTTATCCCGACATTCTTAATTAAAAGAAATACAAGTAAACCGGTAAACAAAAATAATCTACTCCACTATCAACCTATCTTTCCCCCAAATCTGAGGTATCTGTACAAATTTCATTAATGTAATTTTTTTTCTTTTGAAACGTTATCCAGATATCTTAGCGCTTTGGAAGATTAATTTAAACTCTTTCGCTACCAATGAATTTTCTGTTCCTCTTTCTTAAAAATATTTCTTGCTACATATGCATGGTCTTGTTGTTTACATTCGTGAAAATATTCCAGTGGCAAGGGCTTTGTTTCTTGAGTTGCCGAATAATTCTTTCATATACTTTCGACATTCATTTTTTTGTTTTTTTTTGCATTCTGCTAGCTATTTTTCTTTTCATTCATCGCTCCTATCTTTTTATGGTTGTAATATAATAGACAAAAATATCTGAAAGCATAGAAATGGTTCCCACTCTTTATTCATCTGCGAATATTTTAATGCTCGTCATGTCAATCGGTTTAATCATTGTAAAGTTACTGATGTTGCCAGTATTCAGACTTTCAATTTTTCCGTTGCACAATTTCTCTGTTAAATAGTGGGTTTGCCTACTTGTTTCATGAATAATTTACATCAATATTCTTCTTTATTTGATTTGTTTCTTATCTCGTCCAATGTCTCTTGTCGAGCATCGCTACTCTGTCCTCTTGGCAATTCGGATCAGGCTGTACTGCTTTTCTCATGATCGAGCCGATCGTAGTAGAGACATTAGCGACAGTGATGCAACCAACTGCCGCCAACCAGGTCTGTTTTCTGCCTCGCGAAACAGCATCGGAGTGCCCACCCTGGCCCATTCTTTGATGTCCATCCAGCTTTTGAACTGCCTCCACTTACGTCTACCTCCTTCCAAGCTACCTTGAATGACCGTCTTGGGTAGAGTATTGTGTCATATGACATGTCCAAGCAACAGCAACTTCCTCCTCTTTACTATTTGATATGTCCCGGGAAGGGATATATTTGATCGAAGTAGCTAAGTGGGCTTTGGTAACCAAGTAGTACACGGTAGCAGTAATCGACTGGTACTCGTCATAATCGCAGGTAATAAGTGTAGACCAATAGGATAGCCAATGGCGTAGTCCAATGGGCGTCGTCATAGACTTACACTCTGTCGTACCTACACGTACGTCTGTATTTATGACTGACACCAGCCAATCATTTTCTAGTGATGGGGAACTCAGGTGCATGCATATTCGATTATATCACTATTTTTAGTGGGTTTCCCCTATTTGTTTTGCGAATAATAGAAAACAAAAATAATCTCATCAAGAGAATTTCAATTAAAAGAAATACAAGTAAATACAAGTAAACCGGTAAAGAAAAATAACCTACCTCAATCTTTCTTTCTCAAATACTCGTGGTATTCCTACCATTATCTTGAGTGTAGAACTTTTTCACTTGCAACGTTCTTCATTTACCTTAAAGATTTGTGAAACTAATTTCAACTCTCCTATCGATGCCAGTGAATTTTCTGTTCGAGGCTTTGTTTCTTTTTCGTCGAAAAGATTCTAGGATACATATGCATGGCCTTAGTATTTACATCCGGGTAATTCTTCCAACAGCTATGGAAGTGTCTCTTGAGTCCCCGGATGATTCTTTGATGTGGTTCCGATTTTCTTTTTTGTACTCTTTTTCTCTTTATCTCTTTTTTTTTTCCCCTTTATCACTCTCCTTCTCAGGGATGTAATATATCCGACAAATCATCTGACTGTATAGAAATCTCACTCACTCTCTCTCTCTTTCTCTATCTATCTATCTATCTATCTATCTCTCTTCATTCATCTGCCAAGATTTTCATCTTTGGTGATTTTAATGCTCGTCATGTCAAGTGACTTAATCCTTCTAATGTTACTGATTTTCAGGCTTCCAGGTTTTCCGTTGCTCAGTCTCTCAGCCAAATAATAGATTTCTCTAATTGTTTCCCTAATAATTCTGATCTACAAGCTTCTTCACTTGATTTGTTCTTATCTCCTCTCCTGCCTCTTGTCGATCATGGCAATTCGGATCATGCTGTAATATCTGTTGATATATATATATATATATATATATATATATATATATATATATATATAAAAGACATTTTATGTTTATACATTCTTTTTATAGATACAAATATTTAAGTAAATGCTCTTTTTTATAATAAACAGTATTAAACAACATTTACCGGCCTGAATGTCCGAGAAATTTTCATAGAAAATGTTCGTCCTCCGACAGGAATCGAACCTGTATCCTATACGGAACCGTCATATAGCCTGACGTGCCTTTAACCGTTTCGGCCACAGAGGAGCGTTCGGTTAGCAAGGTCGAAATGGTTAAAGGCACGTCAGGTTCCTTATAGGATACAGGTTCGATTCCTGTCTTAAAATAATTGTCGGACTTTGCCCATTTTATTTATATATATATATATATATATATATATATATATATATATATATATATATATATATATATATATATATATATTTATCTTTAGTTCCTGTGTTTAAGAACTGAAACGAACCTTTTAGCTATCGATCTGTTGGTCTTCTACCAAGAGGATCTAATCAACTCGGAATTGGTTAAGCATCTCACCTGAAAGCGTTTTCTTTCAGATAAACAATATGGCTTTGGCTTTCCTTTATCACCAGCTGCTGATGTAATAACAGCTATTGTTGAAAGAGTTTAGCAAGCTTTAAATAAGAATGGCGAAGTTCGAGCTTTGGATATCTTGAAGCAACCCACACTCAACAAAATTACATTTCAAACTAGTCACAACACATTACATTCTATCTAGACATTAGTTCTGTTGTAATACTTCGGTCTTTCACGTGATATGACGTCGTAGAACCGCATCTTGAACTTACTATCTGCGTCTACTTCTCCGCGACCGTTATCGTCGCATAGCAATTTTCTACGTCAAAATAACAAAATATCATCTTTGACGGTGGGTATCTTTGTTTCATGCCTGTATAACCACTCTGTGGATGGCTCATTCGAACCGAAATCTTAGGACCAACCTAATAAAAAAATATCCAAATGATGGACAATTATTGTTTTTATTTTCATCAGAAATTAAAGCAAACATCCAAACATTAGAATGGCTCATGATCAGACGTGATAGACATTCATTGTCTGTTATATTTAATAATATACGTATAAAATATATATATATACATACACGCATACATACATATATATATATATATATATATATATATATATATATATATATATATATATATATATATATATATAAAGAAGGCTAACAAGAAATGAAGACGAAGTAGAAATTTAGAGTAAAAAAAGATGAACTCTGTGATAGAAACTAAAACACATTTCGCTTTTAAACTTGCCTTCATAAAGTTGGTTTGACGAAACGTGTCGTCAATGACTATGAAATATATTATCCAAATCTCTTCTTTTTATCCATATATATATATATATATATATATGAATGTATGTATATAAAACAAAGCCTGTCGAGAAGGCGATTTCTAGTAGATAACGATTTTAAGTCAAGCAGACATTGTAATTAAATTGATCAATATTAAGTGTGAGAGAATTAATATTAACAAGTAAATTTAATACGGTTAAATCTTAAAAGACTCATGACGAGTGGATGTAATTACCATGAAACTCAGAGTAGTAACAAATAAATGAACATTTAATTTTATTTGTTACTATATATATATATATATATATATATATATATATATATAAAGAAGACCAACAAAAATTAAAACGAAGTAGAAATTAAGATTGAAAAAAAGATGATGCTCTTTGATAGAAAGGTTTGTAGAAGTAATAGTAGTTGTAATAATGAGATAAAGACAAATAAAAGAAAACAGTCAAATAAAAACAGACGCAGAAAAGGAAAAGGAAGATGAAGAATAAAAAAAAAGAAGGAAAAGTATAAACAAATGGAACATGACAAATGGAAAAAGACTGCGACAAATTAAAAACCGAAAAAAGAAAGAGAAATAGAGGATTACAAATGGTTGTGGAAGGAACGATAATCGTAGATGGACGAAAAATAAAACCGATGAGAAAATGATGCAACAAAAAAAAAATGGTGAAACGAAAAAGCCAGAAGAAGCTGATGATGATCACGATAATTGGCGACTAATGATAAAAGAAAGAAGCAGTATTTATAATAAACGGAAGAAAATTTTAAAAACAATAAAATTGAAACCAAAACCGAAAAGATCGTAGTCGTAACAAAAAACAAAAAGACAACGAAGAACAACGAAAAAGAGAATGGTTTAGTCAAGGCTCGACAGTTTAAACAGATACGCATGGAAAATAAATATCTACAAATAAAGAGGGAGGTGAAAACAAGGCGGGAAAAAAATCAAAGACGAGAATAGGCGGAGATTGGTGACGACGCCTCCGCACCCCAACTCTAACCTGCTCCTGCTGCTGCTGCTGTGTTGTTCACTGGGAAAGTCGAATCGTATTTTATTGGCGCGGGAAATATCTGCGCTGCTCCTGATGAACAAGATGCGGGGGCGAATGCCGGCAATATCGCTTAGATTAGAAAGTGCGTGTTGGTGGTCAGGTGGTCGGAAAGAAGATGGAGTCTACGTGGCAACTTTGGTTTAGAGTGAGTAAGAAAGAAAGATGAACTTATACGAGAGGATGTATGGCAGATCCGTGAATAGCACTCTAATTAGGCCGATTTCGCAAGTATCCGTGTGATTATCGAAACTGGGCGATTGTGCTGCGCCATTTTGACAGCTGAGAGTGGGATGGGAGTTCTTCGAGAGTACAACTTACAGAAAATGGCCTCCTGGCTTACAGTATTCTTTTTTCTTCAGGTCGCACTATTTATTACGTGCGTACTATACATTTACCAAAAAATAAAACAGTTTTCAACTATGTAAAAAGAATAGAAAGAGAACTGGGAGATTTTGCACACTTTTTCTTAGCTTAGTGTAGTGCGACGAAATGAGAGAATAAATAGATTGGTAAGATTTTGAAACGCTCCTTTCCAAGTGGGAAGTGTCTACGAAACCGTGAAAATTGGAAAACCCGGCGTTTTCTGCTGGTATATGCACGACCAGTGCGTACAACCCCCGAACACCCCCGAGCGAGAGGGATAAGCCTGATTGGAGGCCCCGATCAGCGCTTTGTGATCCTCGCAATCTTATCAACATTTGCTTTATTTCTACCTACATTTATAGACGTTAGAAATTAAACTAAGCACAACTGACCATTAAAGGGGAAAAAAATTTTTCGCGGATCTTGACGTCATTATTTTCGGCCAATTCCGTGCATTTGTTTGACTCATACGAAATCACGAAAAAACAATATAAAATTCATGTTTTATCTGTAACTAGCAGTAGAGCCCGGCGTTGCCCGGGGGTTTATAGCAGTAAGAGATAGATCAAGTATCGACCATCATAAAGACTGAAAAATAAAATTGACAAAGATTATTGTTTAAGGTTGATGGACACGCATGTCTTAATTAGTTTTTTTGTTTTTTTTACGAATTGGTCAAACCCAAACTCAAACAAAAACATTGTTTTCAATCTTATGAGTCTATCGATTGAATAGAATTTTATTATAAACAATTGTCTTGTAAATGGAATTTTTAAAGCATTCTGAATGTAAAAATAAAAAAAAAAAAAGTGCAAGACAAGAAAAACTACCTGCCAAAAAAAAAAAAGTGAAGTTTTGTTGAAATCGGTTGAAAATGTAGGGAATCCGATCCCATATATAAACGAACACACACACACAAACAACCTGGGTTTTATAAGTATAACTCGATATGAGTTGTCCCCCTTTCATTCTGGCGACAGAATCGTTTTATCGCGTTTTCAAATTGATTTCGTGCAAAAACAATTGTGTTTTTCCCATTTTTGGCGCTGTCAGAACCACCGCAAGGTAATTTTACGCAGTCCTGTGAAGTTTTGTTGAAATCGGTTGAAAAATGTAGGAAATCCGATACAATATATAAACTTACAGATACACACACAATCTGCGTTTTATAATAAGTAAGATGTTGAATATCTTTTAACAAGAAAAATCTCAAGTTGATGTTAAAATTTGCCACAAAAAAAACGCGTATGCGCGAAATTAAAAATCTAAAATGTCGAACATTTACCCATAGCACCCTGTATAGTGAAGTGGTTTTTCGTTTCCTTCTAAATGTTTTTGAATACACATTGAATCTAAATTTTACTTCTCCTAGACTGGTTACAATCCCAGGCTGCTTTGCTATATTAACCCAGAGTGGCATTTATTCCTTTCTCCAAGACGTTTGTTTTTTTCGCGAAATGGACACAAACAGTCTCAGTCAGAATAACATTTACACTACAATAAGCGCCCTACTTGGAAATGAGCGGGTATCGTAACTGTTGACTCAAATTCCGGCCTTCTTTACTACGTCCACTCTCTCATAAATGTCATTGGGAAACGCATAAATCCATATCTTCTCCCCCAGTTAAAGCTTGAATATCAGGTGACAGCCAGTCTAGATGGAAAACTACTCTAAATTCAAAACTGTGGATAATGCAACGAGAAATCACGCCAATATTTTTTCCCGAGAAATTATGGTAATTCATATCATAACAGAAAGGAATCTGTAGAGCTCTATGATCACCAACGTCATGAAGGGCAATCAAAATAATTGGAATGGCTCAAATTCCTCTTGGAGACTGGAAATATATATATATATATATATATATATATATATATATATATATATATATATATAAGCAAATATATGGACAGTATGAAGAAAAATATATACGGAAAAAAACAAACAAAAATCCTTATATACAATTATGCTGTTTTAATGTTAATATGTCAACGTCGGACGTTTTG